AAAAAAAAGCAAGCAAAGGGATAGCAAAAACTAAATAAAAATCGAGTCTTTGGAATTTTCTTGGTTTAATATTGGTTTGTCAGAATGAGATCTCATATAATTTTCTTGTTTTCAAGCAAAATAAATAAATAAAAATAAAGAAATAAATAAAATGATTGAATTAAACAGATTGGAGTGAATTATTGCTTAGCTCTCTCTCTCTCTCTCTCTCTCTCTGCCCCTTTTCTTTTCCTTTCTCTCTCCCCTTATTATAGTCTCCTCTGTTTTTGGTTGTTGCTGGTTAGAGGCTTCATAGGTCCAAGGGTTTTACTTATGGCCCAAGATTGTAGTATTGAGTTTTGTAGAGGTTATGAGTAGCAAGCCACCATTTTAGGCATTTTTTGCTCATCTAATTTTTCACTTTATTTAAATAGCCTTCTATTTTTGGGTTAAGTTGTAATTTTGATTTATATACAAGTGTAATAAATATAGAGGTAGAATGCATGGTCTAGGATACTCTCCTTCAGGCATGGGAGTATGGCTCGAGCATGACGTTATTGGGGTGTCGTATCCTCGTAGAGTGTTAGCCTAGACCTTCGGGCTCCTTCATTGTACCGAAAAAAAAAAAGAATGTATGGTCTACTAAGTATTTTTATTTGAGAATTTCAATAGGTGGTATTTAAAAATTTGGGTTGCAATTCTTGACATGTGCAATTACAAATTACAATTTCAGAATGGTACTAGTCTAGAACATTAAATTGAGACATCAAATATCATCCTCATATTACAAAAACTACAACTTGCTACAGTGTTGTGAAATAAAACAAATTGATAGTAAGTTTGATTCGAGTTCGGTTCGACTCGTTTGATAAATAAACATAGCTTCGACTTGATTAAGGCTCATTAGGCTCAAGAAATTAAGGTTTCTAATGAGGCTCGAATTTGGCAATGAGCCGAGCTTAAATTCTCTTATTGCTAAAAGAGTCGAGCTCGAGCATTAGGAGCTCGAGCTTAGCTCGGTTGTTTTAATACCCTATTTGCAACTAAAGCCTTCACCTGTGTTTATTGCATATAGTGCTGTTAAATTAAACGAGTCTGGCTCAACTCGACTCGACTTGGCTCGTTTAGGCTCGAGTTCGTCTCGAGCTCGAGGCCTTAACGAGCCGAGCCGATAAAGCTCGTTAAGACTCGAAAATATAATATTTATATAATTTTCTATTGTTCGGCTAGTTAAAACTCGAGATCAGCTCGTTAAGACTCGAGTTCGAAGCTTTAAAGAGCGAATTCTTCGAGCTTGAATTCTAGCTCATTTATTTAACGAGTTGAGTTCGGCTCGACTCGTTAAGGGCTCCAGCTCGAGTTCGGCTCGGGTCGTTAAAGGACTCGAGCTCGGCTTATCTTGTTTACAGGCATTATTGCATTTGCATATATTACTATATTAGCACCTTTGACTGAAATCTAATAAACAAAATATTGCATAGTACAAAATATTGCATATTACTATATTAGTCCATTTTTTCACTTTCATCAAAAAGTACCAATTAGCATACCCACCCTTTAGACTGCAAATGAAGATAAGCTCACATCAAAATTTGGCAAAATTAGCTGGACCTGGCTCACTCTCATCTCTAATGAAAGTACTCAAACCTAACTTGCATTTTGTTTTCTTTTCTTTCTTTTATTTTTCTACAACATTAGTAAAAAAAAAAAAAA